GTCATAGCATGGAAGCCTTCTATCTTCGTATTCTGAGCGTTCGTCCTACACAAGCACAGAAGACATGCGGCGTGATGTCACTGCCGAGCCCGCAGACAATATCCTCAGAGCGTAAGCTGGCCCTCTGCTAGTCTGCAGAAGACCTCGGCCACGAACTGCTCGACTCTTTTCCGGCAGGCAGATTCAAAGAACTTATCTCAGCCGAGCGCTGGATTTGAAATCCTTCTCACGTCCACGCGACTCTACAAAGTTAATTTTGCTATCTTGAACGGCTCATCACATCTCCTTCGCACAGTCTGTTTTCTTATCTCCATGGGGGGGTTGGTCCCAGCCATATCCTCACTGGGTGAGGACAGGCAACATGCGAAGACACCCTGGGCTCAGAATGAGAAGCTTGACAGACAGACCGAGAGGATAAGAAGCGATTTCCGACTTGCTAGCTCCGAGCAGATGTGGCTCTTATTCTCCCTGTTCTCCCGCGCGGCCTCGGGCCGTGGCAGTGCAAGTGCGCCTGCGTTTCTCCTTCTCCCATGATCACTGGTTTCCATGCACAAGCCAACGTGCCGGCCTAGCAGCTTCTTTCAGATATCAGCCTCCACTTATCATGAAGCCGCGCGGAAAGAGTAGGTTGGCAGGACGTCTTAGATTGGGCTTCTGTAGTTGAAGTAAGCGGAAGGATCCATCTTCCCTATGCAAATAGTTCTCGCGGAGGAGAGGTAAAAGTGTAATTCCATGAAAACCCGGCCAGTCGAAACAATTCCCCGTAACCCATCAATACAACTTACGCGATTTCCGAGATGGCAATTCGGTTGCTCGATGGGCATTGGATGCAACCTTTCGCTTGCTTTCCCGAATTCGAGACCGCCGGTCATCCCCAACAACAGCTGTATCTTCCGCATTGAGTTCTTCCCGCATGAGTCTCCCAAAAGCTGTCACCAGGTTGCATTCTTTTGCAGGTTAAACCGATCACCTCGGCTAGTGCGCCCCTCTGTGGAAGCTAAAGTCCAGACTTTCTCCAGCCATGTCCTTCTCTGTAGGTAGATGCCCGAGGGCGGGCCTTTCATCTCATCTTCCACCCTCCCAGAGAAGCCAGGTTTCGAAGCTTCTCACACACCCCTCGTCTCGAAAAGCATCTTCCATTTGGTTTTCCATCCTCCGGGTGTCCGGTAAGATTTCTTAGCCTACTTTCTCAACGAGGAAAGGTGCGACCAAAGCTCAAGAGTCTATCTCGATGTCTGGTACCTGCCAAGACCACACCAAGCTGCTACTGCGTAGGACGGCGTTAAACGGTGTTTCTCTCCTATCTGCGCCTCACCGACACACTGACACTGCGGCCTTGGCCTTGGGTTCTGCTGGTTGTGACAGCAGCTGTGCTTTCCGCAGAGGCAATGCTAGTAGCATGTAGCTGTGAGTTGCCATTTGCAGCCGCAGCCCGCAGCTTGCATTTTGACTGACTTGTTTGACAGTGCGAACGATGTATCCCATGGTTATCATTCGCGTACGGATTACTTCGTCACAAAACACATACTGCCATCTTGAGCTACTTTTCTTTCGGTAGTGACGCCAGAAAAGACACCTTATCCGGCTGGAGAACGAATGCGAAATATCTCCTGGAGACGCGGGCCCCTCTGAGGCCCGTTCTCTCCTCGCAAAATAGGCATGGACAAGTTCACGTCCCGATTGACGCCTCCGGACCACACCACCGGATTTTGAGTGGGTTCCTCTCGTGTGGTTGCCCAATATGGCAGTCCGGCAGAGGGGGGACCATGAGAGAGTGTCCGTATCCTCAATGCAACTGGCCGGCGGCCTAGGAACACCCTTTGCTTCACTTGCTCTTGACAGCGGACAACCTCCCCGTCGACCTTACCAGACGGCTGGCCTTACTGCAGAGACCGAGTTGACTTGCGACTGGCAGCCATGCGTCCCCGGACTGCCACGCCCTCGGCAGGGTCCATATGTTGGCCCATCCTGTCTTTGCCAAAGTCTTGGATTACCGTTGTCCCTGCAGAGCACCGGCAGGCCGTAACGACCCAGCCACCTGCGCGATGACAGACGGTTTCAGGATCAGCCTTGAGAAAGCCGCTTGAGGCAATCGCAGCTGAGTGTGGTACTCTGATGGGTTGGAAGTACCTCATCAGAGATATAATGTCCTGGACAGTCTTCCCATTTTCTGGTTTTGGGTTACCGAAGAACAAAATCATCTCGCAAACACTTCTATAATACCCATATTTGCATCAGCTCACCGCAACAATGGCTCCCACTATGGCAGCGCCCGCTTACACGGCCACTCCCAGGTCACCCTTCCCTCTGCAGCTCTCTCCCAGAGCTCTGAGGTCACCGAGGTCACCCATGACCTTCAGTCAGTCCGAAGTCCTGTCCCCTCGGGCCATGGCCAAACAGGAAAAGGACCTATGCCTTCCGGCACAAGGCTCCATCTATATTCACAAGCCTGATCAAGACTTTTGGAATGTTCGTTGCGCCGAGACTCTCGATGCTTTCATGAAGGCTGCCGGCTCTTACACGCCGGCTCAGCGTGCCGCCCACCTCCAGCTTCTCTCGGAGATCATCGTCCCGTGCATGGGTCCTCACCCGGCTACGGCCCCGACTAAACCCCTGCTCACCGCCGACGGCTCTCCGTTCGAGCCATCATGGAACATCACCGACTCGGGCTCCTCTTCGATTCGCTTCTCATTTGAGCCCATGGGTCGGCATGGCGGTTCAGCATCAGACCCATTTGCGCAGAAGATCATTCCTGCGATACTTCCTGCTTTGCGTATGGTATCTCATGGCGTCGACACGCGGTGGTTTGAGCAGTTCATGTCCGCTCTATTCCTGACCGAGGCGGAGTCAGAGACGACTCTCTCCAGACTTCCAAAGGGAACTCGCGCGCCCACGTCGTTCCTTGCCTTTGACCTGGATGGAGCCAAGGCTGTTTTCAAAGCATATTTCTTCCCGGTCCTCAAGCATATCGCAACGGGCGCTTCGACCGAAGACATTACGTTTGACGCGATCCGCACCCTGTCACCCCGGGGCGCCGACCTTTCCCAGTCTGCCAATGCCACGGAGGAGTACTTCAAGAATTGCCCATTTGCCATTCCGGTAGAGATGATCGCCCTGGATTGCATCGACCCTGCCGAAGGAGCCCGCGTCAAGGTGTATGCTCGCACCCGGTCGAACGCCTTCAACGTCGTCCGCAATGTGGTGACTCTCGGCGGCCAGATCAAGGACGAGGCGACGATGAAGGGCCTCGAAATTCTTAAAGGCATTTGGCATCTACTTCACAACGAGGCAGAGCCTCACGACGATGATTGGAACAAGGAGCCAAAGATGGTGAACACTCTCCACAAGGGCATCTGCTACGGCTTCGAGCTTAAGCCCGGCGCGAAGTGGCCCGAGGTGAAGGCATACGTGCCGCTTTGGCAGTACGCCGACAGCGACGCCGTCATCTCAGCAAATTTGGCCCAAGCATTCCGTTCCAGGGGCTGGGCTGTCGCTGAGAAGTACCAAGACGACATGGCTCGTTGCTTGTAAGTGGATTCCTATGCCTCTCTCTCCTTCACTGAATACTGGCTAATTTGATTAGCCCGCGTTCGGACCTGAGCAAGACCACAGGCACGCACTCGTACATTTCATTCGCCTATTCTGAGAAGAAGGGCGCCTACTTGACCATCTACTACTCCATCAGGCCCCAGGACTCATTGTTGGCCTTTTGAAGGGGCAGAGCACGACTGTAACTGGGACTAATTGCTTAGGGTGGGGGGCGTTATTGCTTTTCTTCTCACTTTCTTACTGTATACCTTTTGCTCGCGCCCCTGAGAGGCATAATATTCTGAGCACCGATTCCTGACATATGTGGCAGACCATGAGATTGATGGTGGCCTGAACCACAATTCTCATCCACATGTGTCCAGGACAGACAGATTTGGATGACAAAAGACATAGACTGACGGAATAATCCAAGAAGTCAAATTAACCTTCTCACACACAACTCATACTTTGGCCATGCTAAAGTGTTCGTCTCTTGACTGCAAGGCGGAGAAGATCGTGAAAACGTGCTCGTATGTAAACGTAAATCCTACTAAAAGTTAGTTTCTCGTATTAGTCTATGAACAAGTTGGACGACGCTGGCCTGCCGCAGTTAGGGACTGCGACGAACATAAGAAAATAATGTCGTCGGCCGTACATAGCGAGATAGTAATACCCCTTCTTCTCGTATACCACGAGACTCGACGCAGTTCAGAGTACCCATTCCTGGCGAATCATTAAGGCTATCCAGGCTGTCCAGCTGCGCGATGGAATGAAGTATCGTGTAAACCCGAAGTACCTACCTTATCCTCAATGCCACCATCTAGGTGAATACAAACACTATCTTTATACACAATAAGAGGCCCTTGTGTATGCCCCCATACAACTCCATGCCCGTCACCATACCATCACAGCAAGTGTCCGTCCAGGTTCGACGGATCAGGTCGAGACTCTGCTGCGTGGTGGAGCTACTTCACGCTTCAATAAGCAAAAGACAACCGGTGATGAACTCTTCCCACCTCATTCCACCCCCCTTCCTTCTTTTCTGTCTTAGTGTTATATTGCTATGTATCGATCGGGTGTATCTGACACAACACGCGGTCATCTGTGGTAGCAATTCCCAATATCGGACTACCTTAATCCCCAATTGCAGTCCATTTCATCCAAGTCCTGCGGATATCATTTCACTACATAGTAAGCGGGAAGGGACTCCTCTCTACCTAGCTAGCTTTGATACCCGGTAATGAAGGGTGGGTGGTAAGGGCCAGCAACGGGATGACCGGGAGATACGTGCGGACGTCAACGTCCCGACTATACACAAACAGACCAAGTGGGTGACAAAATCGATTTCCTGCTCGTCGTCTTGATAAGTACCCCTCTCACTACTCATATCATAATCACTACCTTTCTATATTAACGTCCTTCTCAGGTATACACGTAAAGAAATATACTCTATTTAATAGATATTAATACTAGTGCTTATAGCGGTTTTAATGCTAGTGATAATAGTGGTGTAACAGCTTGTCGCATATGTCGAGCGGAAATCGATTTTGTCACCCACTTGCAGACACCTCCCGGTAGAGTTTTCCATCCCATAGCAACTCACTCCCTCCATCATGCGTTACCTCGGGACGAGATGTTCCCGCTCCTCGACGACTGAGAAGAGGTTTCCTAGAGAGCTTGGACTTCATGTAGGCATGTGGTGTAGCGTGAGACTGGTGTAAGGAGAAAGTGGAATTACGTCACTTAGCCTCATGTTTACACGCGGGCTTCCTTTTAGAAGCTTGGTCAGACATCACGGGCAGGAGGGAATACCAATATGGCTCGCTTAGAGGAATCAATTCAAGGAGTGTAAGTTTTTGAGAAGCCTATGACAACAAATTCGAGTCCCCAAAGCTTGCCTCTACGGCTATCATGGCGTCCGTTTGACAACAATAACGCTTGATGGGGAAATGAGAGTGTATGTGTAGACGTCCGGCACACGATCCGTCTCCGAGCGTCCTGTAAAACGCTCGATGCGTGTTGGGAAAAGATTCCTAATTTTTGCCAATCCCGCCCCTAGAAACAAATCGACGCAAAAACAAAAACGCCGCTTCTTTATGAGATGTGTAGTTTCCTCTCTTGTCCAATTTTTGGTGGTTCGATAAGTGATTTCTTGTGTTGGTTATTTTTTCTGTAAAGCAACGATAAGGAGTAAAAGGAAAAGTGGTATCATCAGTTTCGCACGTGAGTTGATTTTCAAGTTGAAGTTCAGTTCCAATATGATGTCGCTCTCCTAGACCTGAGCCGTCTCGGTCTTGGGAACGTCCTCCTCCTCGTCCTTGTAGGGAGGAAGGTCGGCGGACTCAGCCATGAGTTCGGACTTCTCCTCGACGGCACCGGCCTCGCGATGCGTGTTCCTGCGGGCACGGCGGCGGCAGTGACGGCGAGCGAAGGGGGCCTGGTGGCGGACGAAGACGCGCCACAGGCAAACGACGAAGGTACCAACCATCATGCCAATGCTAAAATGTCGTATTAGTGGATCCGTGGGAAAGGGGGTCACGCGACCGGGGGGGACGGGGGAAAATGGATGACTTACATGCTAACACTGACGCCAGCAACAATGCCGATGAGGATCGGGAGCAGGATGTGGGAGGTGATGTTCTTAGCCAGCTGACCCCAGGTGTGGTGGTGGTGTCTCATCTGGCCGGCGTGGTGAGAGTGGTGTCCGTGACGGTGCTGTCCGCGCATGCTTCCGTGCTTGCGGCCTCCGCACTTCATGCCACGCATGTTTCTCAAGATGGCGGCGCGCCATCTGCAGTAGAAGGTGGTGCAGTCCTCAGCAGGCGGCTCGTGGTCCTCCTCTTCCTTGTGGGACGGGACGGATGTCTCGGTTTGCTCGACATTGCCGATCATGAGGCTTCCGGTAGGGGACTTGATGAGCTTGACCTGAACGTTGGGGACGTCGGCGACGAAGCTGTTTCCGACCTCGATGATCTGGAGGTCAACCTCGATGAGCTCAAGCTCCTGCTCGTTATCCTTTGCGATGGGGCGGACGCCCAGGCTGTAACCCAGTTGAGGGGTGTTGGGGTCGGCGTTTTGAGGGTGCTTGGTAGCGGCCTCTGCGAAGTCGGGAATCTGAGGAGCACGGAGAGCCTTGTACCACGAGGCAGGCTTAGGGTAGAGCTCAAAGTCGTTGACGAGGAGGTGGTCGACGCCGGTGGTGTCGGTTTCGATGGAGAAGGTGAGCTCGAGGTGGTTGTCAAGGTCCGTCATTGTGTGGTAGCGGCCATCGTGTTGACGCATCGTCAGGGGGCAGCCGGGGCAGTCGACCTTGACACGGTGGCTCGCAAGGCCTACATCTGAGGAAGCCTCCACGAAGGGGAGGGTTTTGACGATTTCGTTGTCGGCTTCGGAGATCTCGGGTACGATGACGAAGGCTTGCGTGGCCGTAATCGCCAGGCCGGCGGCGGCGAGGGATTTCAACAACATCTTGACGAGGTCTGTGTCTCTTTCAATCTGTTTGTCGGCTGTTTTGATGATCTAGGGGGACGTGTCGATTGGGTGCGTTTGGTGATGGAAGTGTTTTGTTTCGACAGAGGATAGAGTCGAAGTTGGTCGGTAGGTACGGTAAGGAGAAGGGAGGTTTAGGTTTTGAAGTTGGAGTGGGAGGAGAGGTGCAATGACATGAGTGCCGTGTCAATGGGTTGAGGTGGAGTAAAAAGGGACCTGAGCAGCAGCAGGCAGAGTGGTAGCGTGTGTCGGTCACTTCGTAACCACGGTACGCAGGGCAGGTTGCGCTGACGCAGCCCAGTAGTACGGGCCTTTACCCAGTAAAAAGATGGAGATCAGGTGCTGCAAGTGGCGTTAGTCTGCTGGGTGCATGGATGCCCACTGCTCGGGGAGAGACTGAGAGAGAGACAGACTTACCTCAGAGAGGGGCAATCGGGGACAGCTTGGGACGCGCTAAGGTGACGGACCGGGGACGACACAGGGCAGGACAGGTGACTGTGCTGTCTCAATGGACGGGGGATTCGCGGGCGATTGCGTGTGCGGCCGGGTGGTGAGTGACTTATTCGGAACCTGCGGAGACGAATGGGGACTTTCCTTGGTGCCTGCAAGCTTTCCTCGAGTCTTGTATGCCTGAGGCAAATCAGGGTCATACCGTAGCGCTGCACATCCCTCAGCCCGATTATGTCATTCGTCCCTCTCCTTCCCTCCCGAATCCATTCTCTGTGCCTGTCTCTTTCCTTCCCGTCCAGCCGTAGAAGCCCCGCGAAGGGTCGATCGGTCTGCCTCCTCAGGCACATCTCACCGGGTCCTCACCTTCCACTCGCTATCGTCCACTCACCTTGCTCGCCCGTCCTATATCTCCACTTTTCTTTCCCTCTTCCACTTTCCGCTGCCTCCGTGCCGGACCACTTTCACGCGGCAACGGGCAACTACCAACGGGGGCCAACCTCCCAAGACTTCCAATACACGTATCGAGTCGCATGGCATGAGCGTCGTCCGTGCTGACTATAGGTACCTTATCCAGAAGGATACAGAAACTCTTCCCCCCAGCTCCGATGGATCATGTGCTCCTGCTCTTCTGTCTCTTTGAGTTTTCGCCTACCTTATCTTCCTGTGCCTACCTTGACGCATCAATGCTAAGCGCGCTGTTGCTATCCTATCCCTGCACCGAGAACATTTGCTCCCTTCCTCACAATGACAGATTTCAGCACGAGCGAGGAGTGAGCACCAAGCACCCTAGTCACTTGTAGCTGCCTTCATGACGTCTACGGCGTGTGCTCGAGTCCCTTGCCACACTGAGTAGTTTGGTCTTTGAGCGAGTAGACGGGCCGAAGACGTTGGCAGGCCTTCTAGTTGGGTGAAAGACGTGACTGCCTAGGTAGGTGCTGTTTTTTGGTCTTGTTAGAGTACCAAGATAAGGACATGCTGAACGGTGTTATTGATTTTCCATCGTTGCACCGCTAGGTCACTCCTCAGCCAAAGCCCTGCGGCGCGCCTCAGAGCAAGGGGTCTCATCCGGGTCTGAAACCCCATCGCCGTATCATCGTGATACAGGAAGTCACCAAAGCCCACCCCAAGGTCCCAAACGACTTAGTTAGCCCCCCTTTTTCTTTCTTTCTTTCTCTCTCTCTTGCTGTTCGCCTTGTGCAAGTTTACCCCTACGCTGCCAGAATAGAAACAGCTGTTCTCGCTCGGGCTGTGCTGTTCCGAATGGGTGGATTCCTGGCTCGAAAATGGTTCATGTTGGTCTCGATGGTTCGGCCTAGCCGTCGAATGCCCCCCAGTCCTCACCCCCAGTCCTCCCCAGATACTGAGCAGTGGCAGATTTTGACTATTATGGGCTCTTTTGGTCACTAGTGTAGAATACCAAATGCAAATGGTCTCGATCTCGTAAATTGGGAAGTGAGTGCGGCGCCTTCCGCCGCCTATCGGCCTCCGAAAAGTTTCCAGGCCGGCCGCCCCGGGATCACCGGAAATTGCACATCACGCAACTCCAATTTCCCGCTCTCCGGACTCTACCGACTCTCCGCTCCGGTGCGAATTCGTCGTCTTCCGCCGTCTTCCGCCGGTCAACTTCCGCTTTGGGTCCAATTCGTAGGTAGGTAGATGGGTAAGGCAGCAAAGCAATAAAAGGGTCGCCCTCATCTCGGTTTCGCTCCCGAAACACAAGGTCCCGGGCTCCCTTGGTCTGCCTTGCCATCCTGATTCCGAGAGGTCTGAATGGCGTAACTTGTTGCTGAATACAGGCTTTTCCTCGCTGAAGAGAACGTTCCCCCACAAGAAGGCATATATCTATAAAGCCAGTCGCATTGCTTGCGTGTTGTTCATCGGCATAAGTCGCTATCAACCGCGGGTGCTTTCGAAAACGTCAAGAATCTCCTTGGGCCTCTACCGAAACGGGTAGTGAAAAGTTTCACGCCTTTCAACCCGTGATGGCTTTCATACTGGCATGCTCGATCTCGTAGGAAGCGCGACAATGCCCATATCAGGACGTAATACTAAAACATGGCCCGAGAAAGCTTGCGCCTATATCAAGGCACAAGACTGGCAGAGGAAAAGGAAAAAGAAAGCCTTCAATTGCAAGGTCCTTGCCGTCTTGGCTATTGTGGCCATTCATCCCACCCTCTCTCTTTAAGTCCGTCAAGCCCGCATTTGCATCAAGCACGTTACCTACTCCGCGGCAAGAATGATCAGATATTGCACACGGTAGCTCAATACATCATCCAAAGAGAAGCACTTTAGCCATGGTTTGAATACGATCAACCCAAGTGAGCACCAGCCAATCTCAAAGTAGTCGTAAGTCACCAGAGAATTCGATGTGCAAAGACCTACCGAGGAGAGTTATAACAGCGAGAGAGTCACAGGTTGCCCAAGGTGCATTTATACTCTCGCGGGTACAGAGCATCGGATTTGTTGACAACACGACCTATGCAAAAGGCAATGCAAGGTTCTCTCACAAGCTCAATAGGACTGGTGAAGAATTCAAATATGATATCATTGCGAGATACATGCCACGGTAGCCATGATATCACGCTCACGGCAAGTCTGCGTGTGCTATTTGGCACTCGCTCACACCGAAACTGGGAGACAACCGCTCTCAGAAGATGCATAGTACTGTATGTTCAGCCGTCATGATTGGTAAAGCCCCTTGGGACATGGAATTCTCTGCTTTAGCTTGGATGTATACATATCTATAAAGATATCTATATGCAAGGACTGTCGACGTACTAAGAGCAAGAATTGTGGCGCTCTCTTTCTCAATGATGTGTAAGGTTTCACCTCTTCCTGTCGAGCCCATCGCCTTTCTCAATGTTCCGCTTTACGGCTGATACAATGGTCATACATTGACGACGAGTCTTGATAGAACTTCGTCAAGATATCACAGTGGCCGGCGCCAGCTTGTGCTGTAACTTGGCAAAGACCACGAAGCCCCCTCAATACCCATCTCCGAACGCCCATCGGGGCGTGTTCCTGATATGCCTTCACGCGGCATGTAATGGAAAGCACCGCAGCTGGGGAACATCCATCCTGGTCTCGTAGTCATGGATATAAATTTACCTTCTACACGCGGCGCCATAATGCAGATGGAAGTGACTTGAACGGGCGGGGTATCTCTGGTCTTATATAGGTATGACTTGAGTAGAGGTAAAAACATGAGCATGGAACCACCACCGCAGCTGGTTGCTGCAAGAATGTCGGCACAGTCGCCACAGTTTCAAGGTATCTCTCAAAATCATGAGCGTTCATACAGCCAGATCATGAAGTGCAGATACACGCGGCTGGAAACTAGGAGCTGCAATAACCCCTCTAGATAAGTGTGACATGGCCTTCATAGACTGGAGATGCTCAGGTGGCAGAACAGATACGCGAAGGGATAATTACAGCGGGAGAATACATCCTCAGAGCCGACCGGAAAGGAGCCTCAATGATGTCATGTCCAATTGTTGTCGCAGTAAGTACAGCAGCGAGAACCTTTTCCTCGTCTTCCTCACGTGACGCCATCAACATTCTTAGCAGTAGCCTTCGCGGCAAATGGTATTTGAACGTTGATATCGTTCCATCATCATCGCCAAGTACCATCTCTAGCACAGCATCTAACGTGACAGACGGCAGCAGTTGACTTAGTCGGCGATAGCTTTTCAATGTCAAATTCTCGACGACGAGTAAACGTAAGTGGCATCGTACGATTGGGGATGATCACCTTGACAGACCCACGCCAGAGAGACTAGCTTGCATAGCGACAAAATTTCCGTGTAATATTACTTTTGAGTTTCGCACGCGCCAAGAAGTCGCCATGTATCAGCTGTCAGAAACCTTGATAGATGATGCCAATTGCTGTTCCTCTTGAGCAAAGATTAATCAAGGGAGAAGAATAAAGCCAGCCTCTGAATGTCTTGACGGTGGTCTACTTGTGCTAAACGCAATTAGAAATACAGGACCCGTTTGGTCATGCACAACATTTAGTGCGTGTCACGGCAAGGGGATCGAGAATGCGACTCAAGCTCAGAGATTGAGTTTTCTAGAAGATTATAGTCAAGCACGCAAGCTAGTTAGCCTGACGATTCGACATGATCGACACTTCATTGGAATGCTCGCCGAGGCTGGTGATGAGATTCGGGGACCGGCATGTGGATGCCACCAATTCGGAATCCGGAAGAGATGTACATCACCCATACCTGTTAGTGTGACATTTGAAGCCCCTTCAATATTCATACAACAGCAAACAAACCCAATTTGCCATGCTTCGTTGGCGAGGCGAGGAATGGGAAAGCCTGTCCTTGCGGTTTATTGCAAGCCAATGACTATTGTCCAAAGGGAGCAAATGTTTTTTGGAATCTGTGTGTTGCGTTGCGAATAGATAACGTGCTACCCACCGTGATATCGAGATGAAGATCCCGAGCCTGGTATGTAAAGACATCTCCACACCGGAGGCTAGCCGGCGCCGTGGGGCCGGACGGTTTGACGTTGACAGTTGGGTACGGGAGCTAGCGAGCTGCCAATTAGAGGCTGGCTCAGAATTGAAGGGTTGTTGAATTCAAAGTCAAACTCCATCATCGCACTGGCGCTTGTATGGTTTGCCCTCGAAGAACGCAAATCATTTTTGGCGGCTTTTGTCGGAGATGACGTGCCGGTCAGATAACTACGACCGAAACTGATGTCAAGATTGGAGAACGGATCGCCCGTAATGCAGGCCGAAATCTTTCTTCGCCGTGGGAAATGGTGGCTTACCTGCGTGACTGTCGGCGCATTGTTTCGTTTCGTCCCAAAGTTCCACGTGTGGATGAGGAGTCGAGGACGGCTATTCAAAGTCTGCGGAGACACGGTCAGTGGAAGCAGTCATTGAGTTTTTCTCTTCTGCTGATGTGAAGCAGAACGTATCTAGAAATGGCTGCCTCGGTAGCAGATGGGAGGAGGCATAGACCCTGAGCTCAAGCCGCGCGGGAGGCAGGCGTATGGACAATGCCGTCGTGTGCCTGAAGTTTCTCTCATGCGGCCTTGCCGTCGCACACTTCCGTGTTCTGCGTGCCTGAATCCTATGCCGAAGCGCTCGTCTGGAGTCAAAGAGGCAACAGTACTTTGCCGACACCCTCAGCGCATACTCGCAAGAGACCCATAGGTGTTGACCAACCGACAAGATCGAGCCGAATGCACCACAGAGAGGCGTGCCAATGACTGCCCTTCTCTTGCAAGCGGCGTCGTTCCTTGTCAAAGGATCGAAAAGGGTCCATGACTCCAGGGCATGCGACAGGGCATTCACTTGCTGGTATCTGTATCCATACTTCGTACTGACCTGGGCCAATTGAGGCTATTGTGAGGGATAAAGAGATCTGACCCTGGGCCCTGTTCCATATCCGCAGCGTGGATGCGACAGCTGAAACGCGTCTAGAACTCGACGTTGGACCTGCAGTCTGCACTGCTGTACTTGTAGTCCGTAAGAGGAAAAAATGCATCTGCGGGCGGTGGGAACCAACTCGGAAGGAGGCGCCGCGCCGCGTGCCAACCTTGGTTCTCCGTGCCTTTCTTGTCGCTGCACCACTGGTTGGACGAGTCGATCCGGGACTCAGGGTTATCTCGATGTGTGCCGTGGGATTTGCGACAGGAGACGACCGATGTGTTTGTTCAACCCCTTGGTCTGCAGTTCTGCGCATGCAGTGGCAGCGGTCCGATGGCCATCAGGTAGGCCAAGACCAAGCAGGTCGCAGGATGGCGTTTTCGGTACAGAGATGCCGGCGCAAAAATCAGCACGCGGTCAACAGATCGCGTAGAGGGTGTTCCTGCAGGCGGAATAATTGCAGGAACCCTGAAGCTGCACACCGCAGGCAGACCCCCGCTCAGTTGCCTTTAAGGTAATGCTGATCAGCGTTCTCGTGCCGGGGACCTGGGGTTCCAAGGTGCAGGGCGACAGCACAGGGCAAAGGTAATTGAATATCCATTCTTCCGCTGGTTGCGCGGGCGTATTAATGGCAAGCGTTTTTGTGTCGTAGTCCTTTTCAAAAGACACCCAGGTCACAGGCTTGCAACGTGAGCCGTTATTCTGATAATCGGCAGCACAGGAATGGTATTCTGGTTACGCAAGTCGAGAATCATTTCAACGGAGAGTCGCCGATGGGCCCATCCTTCAAGGGCCGCAGTCAGGCCATATGCCATGTTCGGAGTATTTTCCTCTCATTTTGTTCTGTGACAGACATCAGCTCAAGGAACGTGACGTTTCAATTCGTCCCGTCTCCCTGATTGGGGTGGCGGTAGTAGGTAGTAGGAGGCGGTGGTCGCCCGTGTTGATGAATCCGGCGTTGGGATGGTCCCTTGGACGCATTTGAAGACGAGCCGGACGGAGGTAGGCATTGGCAGAATATCTAGACACGGAGAGCGATAATTCGACAATGGCAACTTGAAAGTGGAAGCGGTGGGTGTCTGTAGCGTCAGTTTTGGGAATAGTGCCCCGGAGTTGAGCATCAAGGAGCCAGCAACCGAGGTGCGAGTGGCTTGTTCCGGTTGCAGGTCGGTTCGACTTTGCTTTTTTGGAAGAATGCACACCAACGGCAACTCTGACAGGTGCAGAAAAGAACGACGAGCGAGACCGAACATGCCGCAGTTTGCAGGAACACTGAAGGGCGAGGTTGAGTTGAGGGAAGCGCCGTGGCGGATGGATCGAACGATCTTGTGGCGATGCCAACTCGGGCGATAAACTTGTCCAATCGGTCATTGTGTTCGACGAACAAGTCTTTCCAAAGGCACTGGAACTTTGTACAAAAGCTTACAACAGCCATAGAAGACCACTTGAGGTTTTCTAGATCCTGGAGACTGAGTGACTGAGAAGGTACGAATTGGCTGGGTTGAGGTTTCCCCCCAGATCGGGCCATCTGGACCGCTCTTGCAGGGATTGAAAGGGTCTTGAGGTGCGTGCCTGCGCTAGTGTTTCTGGTTAAGCCTGATACGCTCATCATTGGCCCACACCAGGCCAGATTGATCCACATGTAAACTGCAGAGAGCAGGGATTGGACGGAGAGTGACCCCTCCAGCCGGGGCAGACCAGGGAAGGCACGCAGCAAAGCCAGTGGAGAGGGGAGGAGAAGGCAAGAGTCGAAGCAGGAGCGTTGGACTAACACCTGCCTTGCCTGCGTTTGAGACGGCCAAGTGTGAAGCGAGCAACTTGCAAGAACGGCCCGGTGCAAGTCAAGACTTCGCCAACAGTCCTTCCTCCTCCTTTCTCTCAGTCTCTCTCTCACCTGCCACCCCTGTCATCTGCAGCCAGGATGGCAGCGACGACCAGGAAGGACCAGGAACGGTCGTGTTAGCGTCAGCCACAGCTCCCAAGATGAGCCGTGCCTCGTTGAATCCTTACCCATCTGCCACTTTGGGATCTCGTCGTCCCCAAAAAATGAAGCCAGCCTGGAGCCAGGGGCAGCCCTTGAAGACATGCCATCAACCTTTGGGGCGACGGGCGACTTGGCTTTGCAGCCTTTGCTTGACTATCGACGCCTCACTCGTGTCTTTTCCAGCTTAACTTCTAAGTACTTACCACACTCATATTAGCACTTCCCACCAAGGCACGTGCAAAGCAAAAAGGTAATCAACACAAGCCGCAAGGGGGAACGATAGCACCGGACGTTGGTACTGACTGAGACGAGACCTTTCCAACGGCCTCTTGACTCTCGACCAACTCGGGCAAAGCTGGGCGCTCATACACAGTATTGGCGTCACTCTACAACGGCCACACCCCCACCTGTCATTTCCCTGCACAATACTCCGTTTTTCGCCTCCATCCTTCAGATATCTTTGGACACTTCGTTTGCGCAATCCCGTCCCAGTGCCCCACGTGTGTGCTTGTGCTTGCTGCACCTGCAAGGTACGTGACCATGTTACGGTGAGATATCCATTTCAAGGTACTTTACATGCTTACTGCGCTTCTTTAGATAGCATACTCGTACCGATACAGACGGATAGTAATTAACACCACCACGCTCGCTTTCGGCGCATTATCCGGTCTTGACCTGGACCTGCAGAGGGGAAGAGGCCCAAGAAAAAAAAAAAAAAAAGAGGACGAAATTTGCAGTGAAGGTCTGTACGAGCAGCAACGGCAAGGGGGGAAAGGGTCACAGACTCGCAAAACACCGACTATCACCCCTGGTCTTTCTCTCTCTCCCACTCCAAAAGTCAAGTTCCATGCCGATGGATGGTGGAGTCTTTTCTCTTGCACCGATTCTACTGAATGGGCTGTCTCTCAGGCCAGACCATCCCCAATCCACGTCCCAAAATCCCACCCCCGTCCGTCTCTAGACTCTAGATTGGGATTCAGACCCAGCCCAGCCCGGCCCTCTTCTGGCAGTTTGCTTCCACTCGTTTTTGATCTCTGGGGATCCCTCCTCGCTTCTTCTCTAATCCCTCCTGTCCCGTCTCGACAGACTCCTCTCTCTCTCTCTCCCTCTTCTTCTTCACTTCCGTCTCGGGACCACCTCCATCAACCTTTCCGTGTGGTTGTGACCTGTTGCCGCAGACCAGTCGAGTCAACCCTACCGATACTGGTTCTTGTAAATCGTCGCTTGTAGCTGTCACATACGGGTTGTCCAGCCAGGCACGCGGCCCGTCTGTTCTACTGTGCCTCGACAGATCAGATCCCGTCACGATACGTACATCTGTGTGTCCGCCAACCAACCAATTCAATACACACAGACACAGACCCAGGTCACACACACACCACTCACTCATACACACACGCATACTGCGTACGCACACCTTTCACTTCTCGACCTTCTTTTCTTCTTCCAATCTCGTCGACTTGATCGGCCGCCATTGGTCTTTTCTTCCTTTTTGCCGCCGCCAACCGGACATAAGTTTTTGTCTTGAAGACTAACTGCCGCAACCCGTCCGAGAACCTCAACAAGGCCTGCGTCATTAACCTCTCTGACCCTCATTTCTCTCTTGCGACTCTCCGTCTTTCTCTCACCGGACCGTCGCCACGGGATTCCTCACTCCGCCTTGAAGCAAACGCATACCATCGACGCTCCGTTACCCCACGCGACTTCGCCTGTCAGTTCGCACATCATATCACCATCGAATCCACCACGGACCTGCTTCTTCGCCTGATTGTCTCTTGATCTCCAAATCTTCAGACGTCAGTCACTAGGTTCCCCCCGGAGACAACCTGCCTCCCCGACGCCGGACACACCCTGTCCGTTCCGCCCGTCTGAAACACTCTCAGTCCTTTTCACAGCACCGCAAGACCCATCGTGTGTCGTGCACTCACCCGCGCTCGTCTCACCCACTCGATTTCTCTTCTCCCGTCCGCCGTCAGAGTTGCACTCTGCTGCTGCTGTTGCGCCGACGACTGCGTTGGTCCGTCTGTTTGTCGAAGCATTTGCTGCTAAGACGCGCTCCTGCCATTGCTCCGACGTCGATGCCATCACCTCGTAGTCATTCTCATCACCGCAGTCGCTCACTTACTCAATCACTCAATCAACAAATCCGTCCGCTATCCACGGCCGTCACAATTGCATCCCATCTCTCTTCATCTCTCTATCAAAATCAACCACAAATCTTGCCTGCTGGGCGAATCACGTCCGACAAAGGCCAAGTCTCGAAACACCAAATGTACGTGATCCTCTTTGGGACTCCCCCTACCCGTGACCCGGCTGTTCAGGTGTTCCTTGCTTGGAAAGGGTGCGGCCGACTTGAGGCAACCCTCCCGAACCACCGGAAATCCTCTGTACCTGTTACTGAGGGGCCAGTTTGCCTTGAGTGGCCGTGCTGCTTCTACTCCCTCTCTCTCTCTTCTGCTTCGCCTCTCTTCCTTCCAGATCCCCTCACGTTTATCCGGTGCTGACCTGGACTTTTGCACCATAGATTGTCCAACGCGTCTTTACATTCCCTGCCATCCTAATTAATCAATTCAGCAATCTGCTATCCTGCTACCTCAGTGTACGCACTTCATTCCTTCGCCGCCTTTTCGTTCCGTTCTTTTCCTAAGCCAACTCGCCACCCTACTGCACTTCAGCGTCGCTCTAGACTTCGATTCTTCCTAATAGGCCTGGGTCCTGTTTTTCAACCTTACGCAGTTACACCGCCTCGCATAAGAGCTGAGCGGCCATTCGTTTGATCTAACTCTCAGCCGCTCTTTTCTGTCCGCGAATCTGCGTCGTCTGCTGCAAGTCGCATTGCCACCGCGAGCCTATACGAGCGTCTCCCCGGACAATTTCAGCTACGCCACCGCATCACCTAACCATCGGCGACCCGCAGGAACCACGGTTATAGAAGCTGCACCTGGGTGATACCGCAGAGCGAATGGTCTAATTGTCGTGCCTGGACGTGCAGGCATCTTGAAAAGGAGAAGAAACAAATAGGAAGTCAGGAGGAGAACGAGACTCTGATGTCGCTGGACCGAATTCACGAGTACTAAATGAGTCAACCCCAATATGGAAGAGATATGGATCGACCGCCAGTTGCAGGATCCGTCAAGCGGGCAAGAGAGCGGGCTCAAGCCGGATTCCCGAGGGAACAGTATTCTCCGCCGAGCGCCACGAGGTTCCCGATAATGGAAGAAGATCCAGACAGCCCCACGGATGTCTCAGACCGGCGTCAAATCGTTGAGCCGATACCATCACGGATACCGAGACTTCAACTACCGAATGGCTTGCAAAATAAAGATGGCAGCCCCGGGCTTGCCATCTCCCGACCGACACAAATTCCACAGTGGCCGCTGCCAGGACCGATTCCGTCGCCCGTGAACAATTCCGATGCGGAACCCTATCGACCTCCTCCGGGCCGTGGACCACCGCCGCAACGACCTCCGCGCCCAAGCAGAGTACCCTCAATATTAGACAGTTCCCGGGTCCAGGATCACACTCCCGTTTTTCAATATACCCCACAAAGCGGGCGAGAATCAACGATGAGCCAAGATGTCTCATCCGCACCGCTTACCCCGTCATCAAGACACACGCAATCGTCACTTTCTTCAGTCGGATCGATTCCAGACTTCCCTTTGCCGTCGACTCTGCCACCAGTCGCCGTGCCACAACCTGTAGTACCACCAAGACGGAGCGTAACTCTGGGCCCTCCGCCGTCCTCCCGTCGAGGCGACTCATCTTTCTATTCGAATGCTTCATTCGTCTCGCCGATTCCCGAAGAGAGTCCTCGGTCGAGGTCTCACACCTCTTTCGCTTCGAGCGCTGCTATGCCTGAGAGCTGGGGCAGTCAATCACCAGGTTTCAGCCCGGGGTATCCAGACGACTTCTACGAGGACGACGCGTATTCCACCGAGGACGAGAACAGCCAAATGAGTCGCGGTACAGGATCGCCTTATGGTGATGCAGGAGACGAGAGCAAACTTGTTCGGAGTGCTAGCTTGGGCAAGATGTCGAAGCCTTCAATCGTGATGAACCGAGCCCCGAGCAACGGAGACCCGATGCCGCAGGATGTACTCAATGAACAAGAGTCGCCGCGGCGCTCGCCAGCCCCTCCTTTCCAGCTTCCCGTCAGTCCTTTTGACGCTGGTACAGCTTACTATGAGGCTTCCAGCTCCTCAGGAACGGCCCCTACCACAGCAGCCACCGCCACGACCCCATCGATCTCGGCCAACGCTATGCTAGGCGCTTTTGCCGCTGCCAGTGCGACGGATCCAGCAGAATTGAGGAAGGTTACGCCTTCTCCCCGACCGTACAACCGCCTTTCGGCCATTCGACGGCCACCCAAATTAGGACTCGACATGGACTCAGTCAGGCAAATGGAATCCAGGGGTAGCATGACGAGTTTACCGGATCTTATCAAACGAGCAACCCGCCTGGCTGCTTTGATCGATCGGGGACGCAGACCTGCCAGTAGATTCGAGATGGATGACGGCACGTGGCCGGACGAGAAGGCATTTGGGCGAGAGGGGGAGCAGCAGATGTCTGGCGTGTCTTGTAAGTCAAATTTTCAATGCTCACCGCGATAGCATTGGCTAACTTTTCTCTTTCCAGCTGGTGACAAGCACCAGTCGGGCCTGTCTGACATGCTCGCTGCATTCCCGCCACCTGCGGCCACGACACCAAATCCCCCCAACCGCGGAAGTTGGTTCAGACGAGCCTCTCAAGCCTCGTGGCCACTGGCACCGGGCAGTAGGGGCAGCACGCCTCAGCCTGTGACTAGAGCGATGGCGGCAAGAGGATCTCCGCTGGCCAGGCTCGAATCCAACGACGGCGAGTCTTCGACTAAGCGCCGTAGAAAGTGTTGCGGACTGCCACTATGGGCCTTCATTCTCATCGTCTTTCTCATTTTGGGAATCATTGCCGCCGCCATCATCGTCCCCCTCGAATTCTTCGTATTCCGCAAAAATAGATCTGCTACTCCTCCAGCAGCGGAGCCGGCCCTGACCCAGTGCCAGAATCAGCTCAAGTGCGAGAACGGCGGAACCAACGTCGTATCACAAAACGTCTGTTCCTGCATCTGTATAAACGGGTTCACTGGGCAGACCTGCACCGTGGCCGGAGCAACAGGCTGCACCACCACCAACCTCTCGGGAAATTCTACCTCGACTAATTTTAGTAATGTCACTCTCGGCCAGGCGGTTCCACGATTACTGCAACAATCACAGACGAACTTTACGGTTCCTTTGGACGGTACCGATATTCTCGCGAAATTTAACACGGAAAGCCTATCGTGCATTGCGCAGAACTCGCTCGTGACATTTGACGGACGTTCCACTCGCACTGGAACTGTCATTTCAGACACGGATCTCAACGCCAAGGGCGCAATTCCTGTTCAGGTCATCACTATACTCCCAGGGCAAGCGGCAACTATCACGATTGACATCAACGCACCGGGAGGCGTGGTCCTCCCCTCGCCAGATATCGTTGGTGGATTCACAACACTCACGGGGCCGTTCCGTGTCACAACCATTCATGCTTCCAGCTCCACCATGTGGGCTACTATTCCAATGGTGCCCTCACCAACACCAACACCCGAGACGACTTCCTCTGTAGCCCCGCCGGCAACTACGGTCCCGCCTACGACGATACCAACGACAACCACGTCAGAGACCCCTCTTGTCCCCTCGGTACCAGTGTCGTCTGCGCCGGCACCTAGCCCGACCTTCACAGTCACTGAGGAGACTTTGGACTTTGCCCGCGTCTCAATTCTTCTAATTCTCGAGAGGCAAACCTTGATGGCGGCAACAACGGCACAGACAGTTTTGCAGCGTTTCTTCACGACAGCGGATCAGGGCACTCGGCAGCAAAGTGGCGGCGTTACACCCGCCCAGGCACTGAACGTGACACTCGGCGGAGGCAACTCAGTGGACCTTGTCAATTTCCTCATCACTATCCCGGGAGGCATTCAGGTTGGCCGCAAGAGTAGCTGAGAGGCGAAAAAAAAAACGACAACCGACCGCACGATGGTCGTGACGGCGTGCCGAGGCGTGCGTGGGAAAAAAATGTATATAGATATGACGCTTAATGAGGTGACTCGGCGCTCCTTCTTTTGGGCTAGGAGCTCTGGGCGTTACGAGAGATGTGTAGGCACGCCGGCCGACCATGTTGTATAAAAAGATCCTGGTGCGTTTTTCTTATTTTCTACGAGCGGAGGACATTTTTGGCAACGCATAGCATCTCGTCGTGTACGAGTAAATAAAGCGAGGGCGTTGGAACTGAGAGAAGGAAGTCGAAGAAGCTATGCAGATACCACTGATATCAAATCAAGACATAATCACCTGTACACATATGACTATATTTGGCAATGGAGTGACGTGAAAACATGAAGTTGAGAAACCAGAATGATGTGATCGTTTTAGTTAGCCTTTGCCGTGTCAAATGAAGTAAAGGTATGTAGTATAAAAGAAACCAGAATGATGTGATCGTTTTAGTTAGCCTTTGCCGTGTCAAATGAAGTAAAGGTATGTAGTATAAATGATGGACAGAGGGTGTGGATTGGCTGCTGGTCACGAAATTGATAGTGGAGTCTTGGTAGGATGGAAATCCTTATGAGTTATGGGATGTCCTGGGCTCGTGGCAGATCCGGGATCCCCGCGGAGGGTTTAATCTCAGTGAACCAAGGAATTGAATCGGCGGGCCTTTGTGCCGTAAGCCGGCGCGAATTGTCTAAATGAATATCATTCAAGTTGACTTCAAGTTGACGGAGGGTTTTTGCAACATGACTAGGTGCCTGCAGGCTCGGGCTGGTACCACGAGGGTCAATGGATGGTTCAATACCCGGGCCTTTAAGAAAGAAGTCGCGCAAAGAGGTGAGTACAGGCAGCGGGTCCCACATTTGAAGCTTTCGAAGGCATGTTGGTGGTTTTCTTTTTCTGTTTTTCGACCAGCGCGCCGTTTTTCCTTCTCAGATTAATTGATTGAGCTGTTTGAGGAAGAGACTTGACGGAAGGCGTGGGATGAGCCTCTTTTTTTCTTTTCCTTTTGTTTTCCTGCTCTGCTTCTTGTGTTTCCAAGAATACGGATACAGAACTAAATTAAGATTATGTACGACCAGCGGAAGCAACTGAATTTTTTTTTGCTAGAATGCTGTCGTGCCACGTTGAACCTAAAAAGTTGACAACGTTTTACGCGACCTCTTGAGAGAAATTTGAGGCTGAGCTGAGTCTTGACGACCGAAAGAGACGGCTTTCGCGAGGTTTGTGCCAAGTCGCCGGAAGTTGAGATGGGCGGGAGCTTGGCGCTAGGACCGATTGTAAGTTCTTTCCGAGAAGTTTTGCTATTTTACTCTGGTTAGTCAGTTGCAGGTGGGCATGCGCAAGAATTTGGTGTTTCTTGGCAGGCAAAGTTTGATATCTTTCGCGGTGGCCTGAGCGTTTCGTCGTCTTTCTTTCTCGCCTTGTATGTCGAACCTTTAAACCATCTTCGAGAGTTGTGTATCTGTTACAGCGCGGCCAGCCCACCTTCTTTTGTGTGTACGGATACTCCTCCCCGCTTGGATTTCTCAGTCTCGACCCTCGCCCATATTGTGGCCCTGGACTCATCGTCTGCCGGGGACCACAACAGGGTCGAGAATGGCGAAATTCAAGGTGCCCAGCCCGGTTATCTCAGGGCAAGGAAACATGGCCCCCGTCGCCGGCGGTAGTGGTTTTGGTAGCGCGGGGGAGAGAGTCCCAGGAAACTTTCTTGAATCTTTGATTTGGTGAATTTGTATTCAAGGGCATGTCTCTACTACAAGTGCCGACCTTCTGATATTCGATTCTTAGTGGACAGAAGTCTCTCTCAGACTCACACAAACTCTGTGCCACTGTGGCTCTGCGCGCTCTTTCTCTCTTACTTTCCAAATTCCCAGGCACTAACAGATCCTCCTCCTCCCCCTTCTCCACCAAAACACCCCTGCGATTTCTCAACCCCCTTTCCAGGCGCAGGCGTGCCAGAGCAAGGGTTCCTGCATCGGTGCCAATCCTTCCCTTCCCAAGTTTCCCCCCCGGTGGCCCACCCCTCCCCTCCTCCATCTCCTCCACCCGCGTGCCCTGCGGCGGTGCTTGCCAACGATGCCCGTTCGCTTGAGGGTTCAGAGTGGATTTTCTCGCAGTGGATGAGGGAATCTGTTCGACGGTGATTGCGGCACACCATGGGCGGGCTGTTTGTTCGGCGTCCCACAGAGAGGGGAGGGGGGAGGGGGGAGGGAGAGAGTGACGAAATGTGGAAATAAGGACTGGAACATTTCTCAAGGCTCAATGTTCAAAACTCCGGACTGAACTGTCAGCCAAAAAAGTGTTCGTCGGGTGGTCTTGAAACCCATCATCCGTTCTGGACCGTCCCGAACCCCTGAACTTGGTCTGTCAGATTTGCAGGAGGACGAACGGTGAACACTCAGAGAGACATGCCAGACACAGCCACACTGCCACCCTCGTGCGTGGAGCAGACGACAGCATCTATGATCTATCAGAGTGACAGAGGAGGCTGCAAGAACGCGACTACGGGTCATCGTGTCGCAGTTCGGCGCGCGTTGCCATGTCTGCTCACCTGCATCACATAGCACGCATCCAACGGGAAATAAGGTAAACTCGCCCGTCCATCCTGCCATGCCCACCATCCACCTCGTGGCTCTTCCCCCCCTTGCTAAGAAGGGCCAGCTAAGCCCGCCCATTGAGGCTGTGGAGAGACCAACCATTCTCCAGGAGTTTAGAGACTGCAAAAGAGAGAGGGGAGAAACGGCCAAGTGCGCTACGGATAGCAGGTACCGTTTAGCGTAGATGACTCCCAGATAGTACTTACTTTGCAACAGACACACACCCACATCTTTAGAACGCACTTGGGTCCTGAGAGTAGCAATGAATAGCAACAGAGCCCACTTGGCGCCAGCGGATGCCGCTGATGGCTGCAGCATCATTACTCTAATCCCGGCCGCGCCCTGTTGGGCCTGGCCTTGGAGCAGCAGCAAGAGGAGGAGGAGGAGGAGGAAGAAGAAGAAGAAGAAGAGGCAAAGAGACAGAGAGAGTCACCACCCTGTCGGGGACGGCAACTGGACCTGGGCTTTTGCTTTTTGGCTCACAAGTGGGTTGGCTGCTCATCCTTGGATGACCCCTTCCTTGCTCTCTCCCTCGCTCTCAATCTGCCGCCATCTCAATTTACCTTACCTTCCTGTTCCTTGGCTTGGCTTACTTTCTCTTCCTTATCCTCTTCCTTTCACTTTCCTCCTCACCTCCTCCAAATTGTTCTTCTCGCGGGTCATCCTTCCCCTTCGCCTGACTTTTCAACCTTATTCGCTCCTTTACCTGTCTAGTCAGTCGCCTTCCGTTGAAGGAAGGAAAAGGCTTCCCGCTTTTGTTCTGTTCTTCCGTGCTACCCACCTACCCACCGGTCAATTCGTTCCTCTTTCGATTCTGGCTGCCCGTTCCTTCTTTTGGCTCCTGCTCATCTTGGGTTGTACGGCGCATTAAGACGACGCCAGCCTTCCTTACGTGGGCCGTTCCTCGACGCGCGCAGACATCACAGTCACGCTTCTGGCGTCGCCTGGCCCGGCTGACTCGACGACACACTATTGGGATCCCTTTCACCTTCTCCCCGCAAGGCCTTGTGTCCGGATCCGGTTTGGACTTGCACTCTAAGCGGTTGAACCTCGACGTTCCCCTCCCCCAGAGTTCAACTTCATCCCATCTCGAAATCATCTCAAGTAGTACTTCCACATATCCCCAGACAACGTAGACAGACCTCCACGCCGTCAACAAACCCGCCCATCATGGACTACAACCAGCATCACCACCCGTCAAACTCAATTGACAACGCCGCATATCCCGGGGACTCGAGCTACCAACCCGGCGGTCACCCTTCCAATTCTATCAGCAATGCCGCCTACCCTTCAGACTCATCCTACCGGCCGTCTGACCCGACGATGCCCACCGACGACAAGCTCGCTATGCCCAATGCCCGTTACTCCCAATCCTACAACAATAATCACAATGCCGCTCCCGGCGCCGCCAACAGCAGTAGCAGTACACAAGCACAAGCTCAATTCCCGCCGTATCCAACCAATGCTCCAGCACCTTTCCAACAATCGCCAGGCTGGAACCAGGCGCAGAACCACGACCCCTTGTACTCTCCCGCTCGTGGGCCGATAGCACCGTGGACCCCGGATGGCATGTCCGCCGCGAACCCTAACCTCCCGCCACCACCGCCGTACGACCCCTCGAGACCAGGCACGGGGACTACTAACCCTTCGACGCCTCGCGACCCGATATCACCAAACCCCTCGGAGAGTGCCCTTCTCAGCGGACAGCAGCAGCAGCAGCATGGAGCGCATTCAACGCGATCTCAGAGTACCTACACTAGCACCCCACAGCAAGCTCCCGCACCGGCAGCAGCTCACGTAGCCGACGCGGAATCGGGACAAGGGGAACGGGGCGGGCCGCGCGCCTACTTGCAATCGATGACGGGAGGGATGCCGGCTTATGGCAACAGTCCTGGACAGCTTGGCCCCGTCGCGCAGGCTAGGAAGAAGAGAAAGATGAAGCTTGGCATTCTCGCCGGCGTGCTCTGCGCTGTCTTGGTGTTCCTCATCGCGTTGATAGTGGGCGTGCTGGTCGGCATCGTCAAGGTCAACCAGAAGGATGATAAGCCGCCTCCGTCTAACGGACCGCCGAGGCTCTTTTAATGCGCAGACACTTCCACAAGTGGCACCCCCTCCGTTCCTGCGGCAATTGTAGCCCCGGCTTGAGAGATTGCCATTCTGCCCTCCACTTTCTGGACAAATTTCGCATGAAAGGGCGACACAACTTCACCGATACCCAACTTACTTTTTCTCAACATATTCTCTCACTCCTATTCTCCTTTTCTTTTGTGTTTATTACACCACCAACAAAGATTGGTTTTGGACAACTTTGATTAATTGGGCGTCGCTTGCGCTGGAGGAAGATGGATGGATGAATGGATGAGGAGGGGGGGACGACACGAGGAAGCGACGTTTAATGTCTTTTTTCCACTTTCTTTACACTTCTCTTTTTTCCCCTCCTCTGAAACACACGATTTTGGAGTAAAGACTTACTTGAGGAACGGATTCGCGGAGGGATTAAGAAACACCAGTAAAGTGTTTCTTCTTGATCCTAGGAACACCCCGATAGACGAAAGCTGTGGCTTTGCTGAAGAGCGGGCTGGTCAATGAGATTGAAATGATATCAAGCGTTTATTTGTTCAAGACTTTTTGACTCGTGATCTTCGTTCTCATGAAATCTCGTAAGATGTGAAAATGCTGGGGGTTGGTTTCCTTTGGAATTGGGTGGTGAACTTTATCCCAAGCTTGAGTAGTAGAACTTGAGCATCGTCGTCTGTTGTCTATTGGATGAGAGACGAGGGAGAGTGGCTCTTTGAGGTTCGTCGGCTCCTCTTGTGAAATATTCCAATGTCATCGACACCAGAAGTGCCGCCCATGGCTTACTCCAAGCTGCATGTTATTGTCCCCCCCTCTGCCTGTTCTCCTTCTTTTCATGGACCTTCTTCTGCTGAATTCCCTGACGTTTGTGGTTCGGGAGTCATCGACGAGGCGGAGTAGATTGCTTGGACGAAAAGACGACGTGTGCTCGATCTTGGGTGCTTTCGATCTCCGGTCTTAGTTCACAGGTAATGTGAGATCTGTCTTCCTATGCTGGGTAAACAGGATTCTTCTGCTGGCGTGAGGTATCCGGCAGTGATAACTCTCCATTATACATACATATCTATATATATGTGTGTGTGTATAGGGAAGGAGGCAAGGCGACCACCTTTAGGTTATTGACGTTGAGATTGCGTCTTTCTCAAGAAAAGAAACAGACTTTGGGGCCGTCAATGGGTGGATGAAGAGGAAGACGGTGCCTACCAAACCACCCATGCTGACGCCAGGGATGGAATAGTCGCCTTTTTCTATGCTGTGTTGTGCCAGGCTGGATAAGGGAGACGGAGAGTTAATCTGGCCCTGGCTTGGTCTTTCTCTCGATCTAAGGATGAGGAAAGGTGTGTACTGTTTTGAAGATCGAGCTTGAAGCGGATACTCTAATTCTATAAGAGACTTGGTTCTACTGCTTGTTCAGCTGACCATCAGAGGGGATTGATATCAATCCATCTAGTTCGCTTCCTCCCATCAAGTGTCGTTCAACAGAGAGAAGTTTAGGTAGCATGTCATCCGTACCGTCGTGCCGAGCAGAAAGCACCCTCGTTGGCTTCTTGTGACGATGTGAGTGTTGATAGAAGACACCCACCCCAAGACACAGCAAGCGGCCTCCGCAAAGTCCTGATTGGTATACTATATATATATCTCTCACAAGTACGGGCCCCTTCGTCATGTTCGTTACTCGGATCGAAATGGTCATTGCTGAGAGCTATCTCGCCAATTCTATTGTCATGCACGGAATGACCACGTGTTGTTGCACTACCTGGCCAGACAGGCAGACTTGCTACATCTTTCAGAGATGTAGTACGCAAGTCCATAAAGTTTTACACGTCCGCTGTCTCTGCTGGTCTGCCATCATATGGATATTCAGGGTGGAAGCATCACGAATTGGGCGGAGGGAGAGGAGGAGTACTGGCTTACTTTTACGACTGGGAGACGCTCTTGTGAGGGGATCTCTGCGAAAGAAGTCTTGCTAGCGACTCGATGGGATGCACGGGGCAGTCACCGCTGGTAAGTACCCTCGGTTCTTGTGCCCCGAAAGGACGACGCGACTGCAGTTGTCGTCGTATGCTAACCTAGACCAAGTTGGCCTTATATACAGTAGACTCTACGTATGGAGCTTCCGCGATGTCACCCACGGCCGCCTGGCGACCACTCAGGAAAGGTCGAAACTTGAAACAAGCGCTCGGCTTGCTTGTAAGGGAATTCATTCCCTATGAATCAAGACCAATGAACGGATATCCCTCCCCTTCCGTAATTCGCCTCCCTCGGCTTATAAGGTATATGGATAGAAAGAGTACAGCAAAGCTGATGTAGGTGCCCACGCTGCTAGATAATTTCCTAGGCAGATGCCAAGCGATAGTAGCTTGAAGCTTCCAAAGTCCAGGCTGACGTGGTGTGCCTGATTTCCCATGGTAGCATCGCCACCTGTAATCGCGTTCGTTATCTGTTTTTTTTGTGAAGTTTCGTTCCCTTTTTGTGTACTTCTGATAAATCCATCGCGATCGACCTTCAACCTCAGAAATCGAATTCCGCCGCAGACGGAACCAGGAGTCTTTGCCGAACAGTAAGCCTCAGGCCTTTCGTTGGCTGCGTACCAAGGGCCTCATTATCAAATTTGGGGTGATCTTTCTGTTTTGAGACGAGCTTTCTTTTTTCGATCACGACGCATCAATAGAGGCAGTAGTGCGATATACTCTGGCAGTCATTCGAGCATCCCAGCTAACGGACGAAAGAAAGGTGCGAAATTTCCGATATCGAAAAAAGTCAGCTGCTCGAGAAAACAAATCCGAACCCGAAGCCTCGGTTGACCCGGGTTGACGCGTACGACAGAGCCTCATGTAACCTGCGCCAACATACCAGGAAGAGACGGAATGTGGGCAGTGAAGGGTTACAGCAGTCACATGCTTTCAACGATCTTCACATCACACAGTAACACCAAACACTGCCACTTGTCACAAATCGGACTATCGCCCGATAGAGCCTTGCAGCTTATTTTCCAAGTATGCGGCCAAGAATACCATCAATTCTAGCCCCGTATGGGGGAGACGATACGAGAGAGAGAGCAAGATTTCTCCTCCCACAATGGATGGGGACCCCACAGCTGCAATGTCTCAACCTTTGCTCACTCGATACCTTTGTAGGAACACGCCAGTTTGTTTCCCCAACGCCCGATGAAGCCGAATCCCGCCTAAAATCTTTGTTTTTTTCTTTGGAAAGTGAAAACTCCATCCCTTTGTCCTACTGTTTTGTTTTGTCTCCTTCCCTAGAGGTATGATGAAAAGAAAAAAAAAAAACATGAAAGGTGAAATAAGAAGAGAGAAAACATCAAATGAGGAAAAATGAAATGAAGAAAGCTATGTGATGTGGGTGATGAATGGGTCTTTGTCCAAGTTTCGTCCCGTCGTAAATAAAAATGAAGAACAAATCGCAAGTTCTTTTTCTGCAGTTGGGAATCTTGCTGCTGCGATGCTTGAGGATGAATCAAAACTGATCTCTCATGCTTTCATCCAGCTGTCCTCGATGGAAGTTTGAAATGAAGTCGTAAAGCGTACAAAAAGGCCGTGTCGAAAACAAAGATGGAGGACTTCATTGCCGCGAAGTTGATGTCGGAAATTCATGAGAGGGTATGGTTTGCCGATGAGACAAGGTCGTCTTGAGTGCGAAAAAAATAAACGTAAAAGGAAACATGCAGGGCCTGAAAGAGTGCGTCCCTTTTCTTTGTGGGTCTTGAAGTGTATGAATGCCGGCTGCGAAATGCATCGAATTCGAATATGAAGTGTCGGATCCTTGGATGCTGACAACAGAAAGCGCCGCATGCTTCCGCTTGTAGGGGAGATGCGTGGCTAGAAGGCGTTTCGGGAGTCGAATCGCGTCGTCGATAGAAGGTCATGACGGACAGGTCAAAGAATGACGCATCGGTGACCGTCAGGGCGTCTGCGCCTTCGGTGCTTCCGCTTTGCAAAACCCATGAGACCTGGGTTTTTCTCGTACTCGTGGTCTTCATCTTCGTGAGCGGCTTGGTTTTGGAATTTCTCATCCTTCATGAGAAGCTGGCGACAAATGTCTATAAATACGGCGTCGACGTTGGCTGATGACACTAATTAGCAACGTCTCGTCTCGACACCCCGCTGTTGACTTACTTCGTGTCCTTGCGCTCGTTTCGTAGTATGGCGCATCCCACATCTGAGAGCACGCAAAAGCCCTTTGTCTAGGTACGGACCGTTGCTCTTCTAAGTCGGCCTTATTGCCGACGATGACGATAGGAACATTGTCGTCGTCCTTGATACGGGTAATTTCCTCTCGAAGCATCTCAATCTCGTTCATTGAGGACGATGAGGTGATGCTGAAGACCAGAATGAAGCCTTGGCCAGATTTCATGTAAAGGTCACGCATGGCAACTGGATCCGCGGTCAGCTAGGATGTCGAACGGAGTACGAAAGGTAGCTTACCAAACTGCTCTGTGCCCGCGGTGTCGAGGCTGGTCTATTGTTAGATGGCTGGTCTCACGGCAGCTAGAATGTGCCTTCGTTACTCACATTTCCAAGACCACTTGCCGTCCCTGGAATTCATCGAGTCAGTGATTCGTCGCAACAAGTAGTACCCGCATAAGATCAACTCACATCAACCTGTAATTGTGTCCGGTAGGTGTCTTCAATTGTCGGGTCGTAACTCTCGATCCACTCATTGTGAACGAATTGGGCTTTTGCATTGGTTAGCGGTGCTGCACATTTGACACGAGCATTGCGCTACGCGATGCTGACCTGTTAAGCAACTCTTTCCAACACCTCCTAGATGCAAAGTTAGTGGGCCGCGCACGTGACAGGCGTATTTCTCAACAAGGACTCACCGGCACCCAGCACCACGACATGGAGCTCACGACTACGCATGATCAGCTTGCGATCCCTCAATCTCTTCCTTTACAAATTGGAAAGGCATCATGGCGGAGCATACCAGGACTGATGATGCCTGTTGTGGCGTGACATTGTGTCTTTGCTGGCCAAGCTGAAGCTGCGACTTTGTTGCTGTCGGTTGTGTGTATCGTTGCGGGAGAGATGTCTGAGCAGGGCAGCTCAATTCAGATGACAGAAACGTGCCGGGACGAATTGCTGTGTTGAGAAAAGCTTCAACAGCTGGTCGTCTTCCTTTGAGGAAGGGCCGCCGGGCTGAGTACTTCGCAATCGGCGCGTCATGCGGCAAGGGACGACAGCAAGGTTAAATAGATTGTCGGCGAGGCGGAGGGTTTGGTTTGGCGGAGAAGTGGTGAGGTCCGAAAGCCAGGTAGCGGAATCGAGGCTGCGGATTGCCGTGCAAATCACTCTATATCGGGAGTGGATGGGCGCGATTTCCAGAGGACGCAACAAGGTACCTGGAAGGGACGAAGGAGAATGGCGGGGGGGGTCCGGATGCAATTGTAGTTGGAGCACAGGAGCGTCGAAGTTTGAAAGTCGGGGGCTCGGGTCATGGAGCTCTGGGTCTGGCCCGTCCGAATTGATTGGAAGAGTGGGGACCACAGGAGACCAAGGAGGGGTGCTTTAAAGGGGCCCGAGGGGAGGGGGGAGTTGACGGGGAACGGGGGACGAGCAGGGGAATGGAAAAATGCAAAAGCAGACTGACTGGCTGACTGGCTGGATGCAGAGAGAGAGAGAGAGAGAGAGAGAGAGAGAGAGAGAGAGAGAGAGAGAGAGAGAGAGAGAGAGAGAGAGAGAGAGAGAGAGAGAGAGAGAGAGAGAGAGAAAGAGAGAGAGAGAAAGAGAGAGACAGAGAGGGAAGAGGGGAAGGCGAGAACAGAAGTAATGGGAGACAGGATGAGAGAGAGAAAGGAGACGAGGGTTATGGAAATCCTGAGAGTGTCAAAGACGAAGAAGAACAAGAATGGGAGAGTAAAAGAAGAAGAAACAGACGACCGACGAGCCAGGTCAAGACAAAAAAAAAAGAAGAGCCAAAGTTCCCAACCAGCTCTCTTCCTCTCACACTCCGGCTACCCAATTAAAAACAAATAAAGGGTGTTGGTGCAGCAGTTTTTGGTTGTTCTGTCGTCTGCAAGGGCCTCTCGCCAGCCAGCTGCGCTAAGCTGAGGGGAGGGTAGCTAAGGCAAGGTAGGTTAGGTGAGAGGTACCTTGCTGGGGGGTACTTGGTGACCTGACCTGGGCGTCTGGAGGATCCCCCCCGTACCTTCAACAACTCCGTAACGGCAGCCTGCCCTGTTGTTGGTGCACTACGGACGAATCTGGTGAGATAAAGTCGGGCAGTCGGGTCGGGCAAGGTAAGGTAGCTGGACGAGGTTCTGACCGGGTACGTACAGCCTTCAGGCGAAGCACAGTCGGAGCTGAACCAAAGGACAAGAGTAAAGGGAGACCAAGGTTTACGGAGGCTGGATGCCTGAATGTGTCAGTATGAATACTGAGCTGTACGAAAGGGCCAGTTGCAGTACAGCGGACGGTCTCCGGTTGGAGAGGGTGGGGAGATCTAGAAGCAGACAAAAGGCAAGGGAGAGCAGTGCTGGTCAATCGTCGTCGATCACTGTGGCAGCTTTGCCCTGCGATGAACGATGGACGGCCCCCAGAGGGCTGAGGAGCTTAGGTTGATGGCTGGCTGATGGTATGGTTCGATAACTCTGGTCAACTAAGGTTATTTCCGCTTGCCGGTTGCCGAAATGGATGACATTGGCCACTGGACGTGGGCACTTGGAGAAAAGAGCGAATCTAGCTCAGTTCAGAGTGACTTCAGCATCCCAAGCAGGAGAAGAAACTCTGCCCAGGTCGCACTCAATGTTGAATACCAGAACAGGGCAGCAACAAGATAGAGAGACGGCGATGAGATGTGTAGTGGAATTCGATGTGGTTGCACGCTGGAAGACACAGCCGCCGAGTGGCATATCATTCTTGACTAGGGTGTCTAGTCGAGCGAGAAAGCCTGGGAAGTCAAACGACTAGCCGGAGGTAAGAAGCGAGTTGTGGCGAGTAGAAAGACAGGACGTAATGGAGGTGACGCGAGTAGGCAAGATGCGTGACGGGACGCGATGCGATGCGAGGTAAGTGATGTGACTGATGACTGGCAGATGGATGGGCGAGTGAAGACGGAGAGAGGCTTTGCCAGGCCAGTTGAAGCTGACGACTAGTCAATTCGACGGGTCGACGGGAGGGGACCATGCAAGACAACCGGAGCATCAGATTTTACCGCCAACCTAAAGGTGAGAATTGGCTGTGCTTTGTGAGATTACAAACAGGAAAAGTAGATGTTGGGCTGCAGTACCTACTGTACCCTTGGAGAAAATTCCCATGTACTACGTTGGGTACGGAGTAGAGGACGATGGGTGACGGATGGCGAGAAAAAGAAGCATGTGGAATTGTCTCACAGATTGGAAGCCTCCTGTCTCGAAATAACGGAGAGGCTGACACTACTGTCGGACGCTTGCATGGTAGCTTCAACGTCGTCGCTATTTAGGGCAGAGAGCCGGGGACGGAGCTTTGATGACTTTGTCGCAGGGCTTCAAAGGAAGGGGTTTTAGCTGAAGTCGAGGTTGGCGGTCATCATTGGCGTGTTACAGTATGGGAGTTTGGTGTGGTGGTGTACGGAGTAGTGCTTGAGCGTCATGTTGACCCGGGGGCCACCGACCGGACAACGTTGGTCAACGTTGGTCAACTTAGTGTATGATGCGTACCAAGTACATAGTGGTGAGATAGTTAGTGACCGAGGTCGGGAGCGATTGCGTTGCTTCGCGTCGTCCAACTTTTGAAGAGTCTTCTTGGATGGATGTCCCCCGTCCCCTCCAGTCTTTGCCATCTTCCTTCTTTCCTGAAATGGAACTGTGCCCTTTTGGTGTGAGGCACAGCGGCGCGAGGCAAGATCCAATGGGTGTCGAAGTAGTCGAGGTAGGGTTCCAATTGGGCCCCCCGGCAAGCGACACCTCGCCGTGGCAATGATTGGGTGAGGCGGCGTGGCATGTCGCTCACACGGCGACGGCGGCGGGGATTATTGAGGAAGGTCCTGAGGATGAGGTGCTTGCTGGCCTCTTGCCTCTGGATTCTGGGTTGTTCTTTTCGCGGAGGCGGAGGCGGGAAAAGAGGATGCGATGCCGTGCCGTCTCTTGGCTGCCTTTTTGACCGAGGCCGACGGGATCCAAGTAGAGTGGTGTTTGGCTCAAGTAAGGTATTAGTGCCTGTGTTGGTACGGAGTACGGAGTAGTAGGTGCCTTGTTCGTGTGACCAGCGTCCAGCCCAGCAAGCCATGGCTGAAGTCGTAGGTAAAGTAGACATAACGCTCCAGGACAGGATACATCTTGAGATTGTCAGTAGGCTGGATACTATAGAATAGAGGGTAAGGTGGTCTGTACGTATGCGTATCTGTATGCCAGGCTCAGAGTCCATAGGTTCAGCGTGGGAACGGGTCTCTGCCCCAATGTAGCTGAGTCAGGGTTTGTCTGCCGTTTAGCCAGAGCAGGTGTCCAGTTGGGTGCAGCGCGCACGAACATAGCTCCTGCATAGGTGGGACTCTCTCCAGTCTTGTCCCACCCGTCCCATGTGGTGAGGTTCCTCTCTTCCCATGTGTCTCCAGGGCTAAGGGAATGGAAGAGGGGGCGACGCCGCGACGCCGCAACGGAAGTATCATGGTGCGTAGGCCGTACGGAGTATTCGTACCCTTCCATTGAGGCTTGGTCGAGTCGGGCAGTTTGTGTGAGCTCTAGTCCTGGGTAGTCGCCGGGGCTCTCTCGTGAGCAAGCAAGCCCTTGGCCCATGGCGGCCATGCGCAGACGGGCTCTCGAGCCCCCCCAGAGCGGGCAGTGTGGAGGAATCTTCCTACTCGGTACGGATACACGTGTAGTTGACAGGAGGTGTGGTGGCCTGGTCCTGTGGTGCAGCGGTGCTGTGGATTTCAGGTAGCAGTGGATTGCCCAGAAGGCATGTTTTAGCGCGCTCCGTGATGTTTCTGTTTCTGCTTCCATCCCATGTTCCCCTGTTCGTTCGTTCCGCGGATGGAGTCGTGCTTGGGGTGGTGCTGCAAGCTGCGTGCTGCATAGGAGACAGTGGGCACTGAGCAGTGAGAGCGCAGGTGGACATCTGCAGGTGCAAGAGCAAAGATGCAGATGGATGCTTGCCCCATTGCTTGCCTTTGAACGGGGCTTGACTCTTGAGGGACGATTTTTGGTTCGTTACCTACCTATCCATGGATGCGTACGGAGTACGAGGTACTTGGACGTGGTGTCTTGGCTCTTGGGGTACCTTAGGGAAAGAAGACTCAACTCGTGGTTTATCCCCCGAGCCCCCCACCTCACTTTTTCTTCCCTCACCAACACCTTCCCGAGTTTCTCACTGTGACTGAGGCAGGTGCGCGATCCCCCGGCTCCAACATGGAAGGGACATGGAGATATGCGACTGCCGTTCTTTCCCTCCCCTTTTCTTTGCGTCCTTTTTTTCCTTTCCCATGCCGCGCCATGCCTTCCTTGCTGTTCCCTTTTCGCGGCATAGGTACCTTAAGGTAAGGAAAGGTAGGAACCACATTGGCCACATCAGCACATTGGCACATTGCGCGGCGTGCCTGCCATCATTCATCTTCCATGCCTTCCTGCTTCCAACTACACTCTGTCACCGTCCCCTCATTCCTTCCTACTTTACCTTAGGTACCTTAAGGTAGGTAACCTGATAGCTTCTCGAGCTACCTAACCTTACCTCAAGTTGTGGATACTCCCTGAATACATCAGATCCCCTCTCGACGGCCCGAGTTCATGTGGTACAGTGGTAGTCACTGCGTCATGGACTTAACTGACTTAACATTTCATCACCTCAAGGTAAGGTACCTAGGTAGGTGACCGTGTCTAAAATGTAGTTGCGCCTGTTTCTCTCAATCACGATGCTGCTTCACTTCTATCTCATGCCACTATTTACAATTCAATGCCTTGGGTCCCGGGACTTCATCAGAGACTTCCAGTTTGCTACAAGCATCGATTGAGTTGAGGAAGCAAAGGCAAATATCTCCACCCAATGCCTCTCGTTCCCCACAGCTGTGAGCTTTTCAACTACCCATGGAACTTCAAACTTTGACTTTGCCTGCACAGAGTATCATGCAGCTTCAATCACCTTAGCTCTTACTGCTTGCTCCTTCCTCGATGCTGCAATGCTGTCATCCTGGTAAGATAGCTAGATACTGTGTAGGCCACGCCGCGACGGGCCCGGTGTTGGAACTTGACCCAAGTTCCCAACTTCTACTGTGTGCTCCTTGAGGTAGGCTCCAAGACAACACCACAAAGCACCGCCGCACTCTAGCACTCGACTCCATGCAGGTGCCATCATCCATGCCATGAAGAGAATCCATCCTGCGACGTACGGAGTACGGCCTGCATCGGTGCCAGTCTCCCAGTCTCTGTACCTTGCCTTACAAGTAGACCCTGATTAATTTTTATCTCTCAACCCTTCTAGACGCATCGACTCTGCCCACCTTGTCTCGACTTCTCCTGCATTGCGGCCTGTCCCTGTCAACCAAGGGCAAGCCACTATGCACTTCATCGAGAAGAATCGTCTTCCATCTACTAGCCTTTTGGTCTACATCCGCGCAAGCAATGAGGGGTTATTCCGATAGTCCTATTCTTCCATTTCCACAAAGCTTCATGGCCAAGCCACCGAGAATGTCTTGCCGAACCATCCGCCACCGCCCTCCTACCA